CCCCCTGCCCCCCCTAACCCCCCCCATTCCCCCCCCCCATGCCCCCACACACACACACAGAAAACAACGTTGTTTGGTGTGTTCTACGTTTGTAACATTTATTAGATCAGTTTTATGAGAATTTTATCTAAATACATCGAACCGAACTGATCATTTTCAGATATGTTCTACATATCTAAGTTTATATTTTTCTTTTTTCTGACACGTAATGGCTACATTTTTAAATATAATTTGCATCACACAGTTTGTATTTTTGTGCAGAAAGCATTTTGATGACATATATATTAGAAACGTTAATAAGTTGCGACATGTAAACCTTATTATGTCCAAGTGTAAACTCACGGATACATCGCAACTAGCAGAATCGTACTACTCGAGTTATCTTTAAAGGGTGACCTGGATTAGATCATACGGTTGCGTTCTCAGTTATTTTGTGTATTTTACAGGTAGATTGTGTCCTAAAATGGAGTTGAATGCTATCCACTTGATAAGCACTGAAATTCTTCATCAGTGATGACACGGTGATGATTAATGGCTTATATTACTTAAGAAAATTAAGTTGACGAACGTGACTATTCCTTATTGCGGAGATGAGGCATCAGAGCATTGAAAGGTCCAGGGTTCAGTCAGTTTAGCTGTCGATTGCACAGTTTTTTTACTGTATGGTTATACAGAGTTGCCAATATAATTATTCCCAAAGTGTTGAGAACTATATTTGTTCAGTTTATTATTTATAGCTGAGTAACACCTGAAGACAAAGGGAATCGATAGACAAAAAGGCGAAGTATATGGCGCAGATGCGTACTCTGCCGCTGTGTGCTTATACAAAAACTCATCTGGTGCAAATGTACAGATCTCATAGCATATACCGTATATGATATATAAATAGCCAGGGAGGGTTCGGGGGGGGGGGGGGGTCGCAAGAAGGTCCCTCTGGATATAATTTTATCTAGGTACAAAAAGGTTTCATGGTAAAAGGTCCACTTTTCAGAAAAAGAACCCCCTTTTGAAATTGATGCTACGGGCCTGATACACACACACACACACACACTGGTATGTAACGGCAAATCAGTATAAAAAGAGCTGTGGTGTATAAATACAAAAAGCCTTCCTTATATATGGGGAACAATCAGGTAACGACAATTTCAAAGTATTATGTTAATAAAGGCACATTTTTTCTACTTGAATATATACACCTTGAATATATACGATACTTAATATTTAACACTTGTGTCCCGAACCCAAAGCCCGCCACTTTGTTAAAAAAAAAGTGCCTTTATTCAAAATGTTTCAATCGCTGCATTGCAGAAAGGTGCTAACTCAGCTCACTTTCCGCACTGATTGTATTAATGTAACTAATCCTCGGGCAAAGGACTTCAAAGCGGCTTAGTGCACTCTGCAAACCAGTCCATTGATGCGTAGGTCAGAAAGGCGATTGACAGCGGTCCGTTCTCCCGTACTGGGGCTTTATTCCTGGCATTCAGTCGATTCCGCGGTCTATTAACTCGGTCTTGGATTTGTTTGCATACTGGTCCCATCGTCACAATACAGGTGTATTCACGGGTGGCTTTCTTGGTGGCGCAACGCAAATATTTGTTTTTCTCTAAATAATTTGTTTGTTTTACACCACGTCTTTTCCTTTTTTGACTGGCTTCTCTGTTAAGGAAAACAAAAACATCACTTAGTGTTTAAAATCCCCTGGTGAGCCGAGATTGTTATGGGAAGTGGTTCTGATCTCGTGAGACGGATGAGAGGGGATGGGGTTCCGACACGTTGTTTCACTTTGACAGCGTGCAGCGAGAGTGTCGTTAACTACTTTCCCTCTGAATGTGAAGCGCGGCGGTGTCTGGTTCACCTTGTATTATGTGTATGGTCTGGTGAAATTTTACGACTGAAGCAATCTAAAACAAAGAAAAGCTGGGGAGGAAAGCTACTGATCGCTGGGCGGGTCTGGAAAGCGTGTATATTGTAAATATGCTCACAGGTATGTTATTGTTCATTGTTGCTTTTTATAGATATGCAGATACCTAGGTATTTGGTCGTTTTCCATTTATTACTGTGCATAGTATATACTGTGGATAGTATAAAACACAGTTCATGGGCACGATTTGGTGTGGGTCTGGGCTTTGGTACGTCCTCGCAAGCTCTTGTTGACTTGAATATCACGCGGCTGTGAAAAGACGGTGTGTCCACAGATGCGCATCTAAGCGGTAGTTAGAATTGAGAAGTTATGCAATAATCAGGTAGATGGATATTAACAGGGCTTCGTCAGGTATGTTAAGGCTGTGGACAATGGCACTCACGGTGAATTGATGCCGTCCAAAGACGTTTGTATACCTTTGTTGTTGTCCTATTATCTGCTATGGTCCTGTATGTGAGGACAGAGTAGCTCATCAAATCCACTCTACGGACCTCACGTCCCCTAATTTGTATCCCTGCATGGGCAATTTTCATAATAAGTTCAAATGAATAGGTGGCCCCGTTCTGAATTTAACCCTACCCTGATGTGTATCTATTAAAGTGCACCTCAAAAGCAAGGAGATGAAAGCCGCCATGGTACAGTTTTAATCACGTAAGTGTTTCTTATAAGCACGAAGTGCGTGACTTCAAAACCGGCGTTGTTTTGTACCGTGCTCCTTTATCTTAACAAGGTAAAGCGGACACCATGCTGCGTCCGTTGAAGTGTTAACTACCACTTGACTGCTTACCCCTCCCCCCATCCCCACTTAAAGCCTTGTGCTCCTGACAATAAAACGTTATTGTTTCATTAAACCACAAAAGGCCGCAAAGCGTATATGAAGTTAAGTAGTGACTAACCGCTCCCCACCACTTCCGGTACAAAAGCGTATCGACCAGACGACACGAGACAACAGCGGACGGACAACGGTTTTCCCTGAGCGTCTGCAGTTTTAAACATGTATTTTTAGCTTGACGGATCCATTCAAATGGTTTAGTTAGATTACATTTACATCGCTCTGTTAATCGCACTTACCGTTATCGATCAGGGCGAAAGTTTAACATCGTTTACCAGCTTGCCTTTGACACGGAAGGCAAACCGCGACTGGGCCCCGATGACTGTATTGTAGGATTGGTATTGTAAACATAAACGTGTGACACAACAGCGCGAGACGGACGCAGAGAAACATGGCAAAAGGTAATGTGCGGTGCCTAGTCTGTTTTTGCTCAGTTTAACAGTTTCAGTTAAAACTCTGTATCGTATATATCAGATAATGTATAGTATTATCCTGGGCGTAGGTCTATTGATTTTATCTCGCAGCAGACGAATTGTTCAGCTGTTTATAGGCGAGAAGTAGTGTAAAGAGTGACATCGACATGTATGACATCGTCTGTATGTGTTGTTCTCAATGTTGCGTAACATTAGTAAAGAGATTTCATCTATTGAAGTTAGGATAGCGTAACATGTCTTCGATAAATGGGTTTCTTCTATGAAATCAAGAGTGTAAGGGGTTGGTTCTTTAGACTTCATCTTTTATAATGTACTTTGTGGAGTCGTTAATAACATCATATTTTGGTACGTTCTTTCTTGGTGACACCATGAAATAATATTGTTTTGACCTTATTACGTTTTATTACACGCCATATGGTCCTTAACGGCGCTATCAATATCTTAATCGTTTTAACCCAGAAACGTCACGATAAAACCTGATTTAGTTGTTCAGAGAATTGTGAGTCCTTGTAACGGATTCCTTATATTGAAAACCGTTCAATCTTCCTCTCCTTTATTTTGATTTTTGTCGTTGGCATATTAACGTGTTATCTCTCAACAAAAATTCGGTCGGGTATGTTTGAATAGTTAAGGTGGTTGTATATAGAGTCATTAAAAGTTACTGACTAACATGTAATTGCGCAGAATAAAAAAGCATGGGCTGATAATCAAAAGTTATGGCCAAGTCCAATGATTTTACGGTACCACATTGTTTATAGGAGGTGAGAGAACAAAGGATCGGTGCGATTAACCCGCAATTCTAACACCTTACCTAGTTCTGTTGACGGCCAAACAAATAAACGTTAATTTGTAGACAAATAAACGGTGTCGTGTGAGGTTCATAACAATATATTTCATTTGTTAATGAAAAGGGACCATTTCATTTGTGAAGGAAAAAGTAAAAGCATCTCGGTAAATGGAGTAAACATTTATGCAAGGCAACAGTCCAATTCTTTATTTCACTTTTGTTTATTTAATAACACCTTAAGTATTGCTCCATTGTTTTGTCTTCAATATTGAACACTAGTGCTAGCGTGACACACTGTAGTTGCTGCTTTGGCTCAACCCGAGGCTGCACACACACGCTCACACAAACACTCAGGAGATATTACACAAAACTGAGATGTCGCAGCAAAAAGACAACTGTCGCCATATGAGGCGGGGTGCTCTTGGGAATGTGAATTAAAAAAACGAAGACAAATATTAGCACGGTAGAATGCAATCATCTTAATGGTTCACGGCTCCTCTTATTGCAAAATAGTTTTGCTCTGGGTGGTACGTTGTTTGTTGAAATATATGCTGGATTTCTAGAAGTAATAAAACTGAGAGAGACGGGGTTCAGAGAGAAAGGGAGAAGAGAGAGCGAAATTAAATCTGGTTACACTGATTTCCGGGAGGAACTTGTTAGTTGTCCTTGCATCCGGATTCTCTTTAGTTATCAGCATTTTCCAGCTGTCACTTACACAATAGAATAAAAGTGAATTGTGACCCACTCTTTCTCCCTTCGTGAACTACCGGTGCTCTTTCAAAAAGAAGGAAATCCTTTGTATACTTAATAAACTGCCAAATATGTGTTTTCAAACAGGATCTATTTAAGGGGTAAAATGCAGTCAAATGCCGTGAAAAAGTAAGGACAATGGTTAGTAATGATTAGTGCTCTCTACAGAGCTCAAGACGGCACTGGCAAGGTACCATGATTGCACCCCGTACCGAGATGTTATCAACTTATGACACTAAATTAGAATTTAAACACAGTGGTTGACACAGACTGGTTGAAATGCCTACAGGGAAATTGTCAAGGTCGCATATTTGTCCCCTTCACATTCAAGAATGGCATGATTTTTTGTAGTCTTATTATCTGTTTAAATAATACAGAAAATAGATTTGGTTGCAAATGGAAATGAACAGGGGCATGTGTTTAGAAAAAAGGGTAGTGTTCTTGTACGTTAGGGCTTGACGGAGACACGTGTGTTATAGTCCCGAGTGCCACGCCCCTTGTGTTATGGAGGTCGCCTGGGGATTAGTGATAAACCATCATTTAGCGTTTAAGAAATATGTATTATTCATAGCTGAGATTGAAGATTCATCAAAAACATCAGCAGCGCTGGGAGATATAGCAATCATGACCTGTGTTTTCAATAGGTAACATGAGCTGTAACTATCACAGTTACTCGCTGTTGTATGTATGTCATTATGAACGCAGTCAGGTGCTTGGTAATCCTGAAATAGGATCAGGTATACTCTGTAAACTTGCTCGTACCCTGGGTTTCAGTGTCTATTGTATTTTGAATAAGTTAAATTCAATTCTTTATGCTTATCTGGACCTCCTTGGTATGGTAAGGTTTGGAAAAAAGTTTGGACTGATCTGCGCAGACACTAATAAAATTCGGGGTGCATGCAGCTAGATGGCTTTAGATTGGTACGGAATTTCCCTTGCTTTGTGCTTATAGTTGTTCAATATTGTGGTTTTCCAGCGTGTAAATAATTCAATGAATGGTCAGTGGTCCCTGATGGGGGCTTTAATCCAATCCATCTTAATCCAGTCGCCATTGATTTCTAATTAGGCAGCGCGAGGTATTCACCTTAATTGATCGGGATTTTGTCCCTGTTTTGATGCATGGCGTGATTTGCAGCCTCGGGGTTGGCAAACTTCATAAAACTTGTCGCATATAAGATTATATACGGTAGCTTCAACACCAAACAAACTGAACAGTGAATAATGTAAATATGGGTGTGCACATATATAAGCGTACAGAGAGAGGTGTAGGCCTAGGGGTACAAAAATCCGAGTTGAAATCGTACATATACCGTTTACTTGTATTGTATTAAGCGATTTACTGAGAGGGCAAAGAGGCAGAGAATGTCCTCCCCTTGTGCATCTAGACCCGCCCTTGATGTATGCACATTTTAAAACTTTACAGTCATGACAACACCCTGAAGTTAGAAATAATTTATTTCTCCTTTTTTTCTCCAAGTTTTCAGTTATGTATCATTGTCATGCACTTGGCTTCCTATAATTCAACAATCGATACGATACTCATGTTCAAAGATCTCTTGACATCTCTCCATAAGGTGTATGACACAATAGAAATAAATGACGTTGCGCTGGAAAAAGGAAGCGGGTTTAATCCTTGATCCATTTGAGTGCTTTTAAAATCTAAGATCTATGGAATTTGGAGTGATGTTCCGTGCCACAGATACTGTGCTTTATGCCAATGTCCTGTTTGATGAGTAAATAACCAAAACAGCAGTGTGAGATAGAGGTACCAAACTTGGTAAGGACACTGTAACAAGAGTGCAGTGTCGTGCTATTTTAACCAAAACGAAGTCCCACCCTATGACACACAAGATACTTTGGTTATCTCGTCTTTCCATGCATTTAGTATACACCCGTTGCCAAATGTTTTACGTGTCAAAAGTTTTGCTAAGATGTAACATTTATACATATCGTCTTTTGAATATCATCAGTCAATTTCTTGGTTGTTACCTAAAATAAGGTACTTGCGTAATTCTTAACTTTATGAATAAAGATAGCAACTGTCATGCAGTTTTTTCCTAATTATTAATATGTTTGTATCTAAACCTTATTACTTTATAAATTACTACGACCATTTTGAAAAGTAGATTTCTTAATATTTGGCAAATACGTCGTAAACTTATGGGTTATTATGGCCTTTGGCATCACCAAAACATGGGATAATACTGCGGTTAATGGGTGCAGTTTAATTGATTTACAATTAAGAAAAACGAAAAAGACA